CTGTGGGCGAGGATCAGCGCACAGATAGATGTTGTTTGCCCTGTTGCTTTTCGTGATTTTAAAAAATTAATTTCCAACATTTAAAGCTTAAGAGACCCATAAAGAAACCTAGGTCTTGTGCTTCCTCTGGCCGCACGGGGCCCGGATGCTGCCCAGCATCAGCTGTGGAGCCAGGGGCTGGCTGCTCCCTTTCCAGCTCACTCCACTCATGCCCCTGAGTGCCCGGCCCCCACTGGCATCTGAGTTTCAGATTCCGCATCTAACTTAAAGTTACTCTTCAAGATTTAGCTCCAGGGTCACGTCTGAAGTCCTGCCTTTCCCTTGTGATAAATGATCTGTTTATTCAAATGCATCAGTTGAGTAGGTCAACCAGTAAGGTCTGTAGTTTGTTTGTATTTGAGATTTGTCTTTATTCTCTTTTGTTTAATTAATATTTTTTAATATTTTTTTTATTGATTTCGGAGAAGGGAGAGAGAGAGAGACATTAATTATGAGAATTATTGATTGGCTGCCTCCTGCACACTCCCCACACTGGGGACTGAGCCCACAATCCGGGCATGTGCCCTGACTGGGAATTAACCGTGACCTCCTGGTTCATTGGTTGATGCTCAACCACCAAGCCACGCCAGCCGGGCTGCCTTTATTCTCTACCAACGTGTTGTAGAACCCCAAAAGTTGCATGAAAATCATATTTCATACTAGATTAGGTTTAAGGATGACATTCTTTTTTCTTTTTTTAATTGATTTTAGAGAGAAAGAGGGAAGGGAGAGAAACATTGATTTGTTGTTCCACTTATTTATGCATTCACTGAGTCTTGTATGTGCCCTGACTAGGGATCAAGCTCATAATCTTGGCATATCGGAATGACGCTCTAACCAACTGAGCTACCCGGCTAGGGCATGACAACATATTCTGATGCCTGATGTGAGCCCTAGGCTGCAGCCAATACTGATAAAATGATAAATTTCTAGTAGTCAGACTTGGCTTGTTTTCAGCAACTTGTTCAATACAAGTGGTATAGATAAGAGCTTGAGAGCTTATTTCTTGAGATACTACATGTAAAGCACAGAGTTGAGCAAACTTTAGCTATTGTCTTTTAAAGGAGAATGGAAGTGGGTTTGTTTGCAGGTGCCGAGGGAAAAGTTTTTCTCAAGGAAGTTCAGACAAATGCTGGTTCTTGAGTGAGGGGAGCGGTATTGTGTTTTGGCTGCAGGAATGGAGACTGGAGAATGCCAACTGGGTGGGCCTGCCTGTCAAGGTTCAGGCCCTGGGCTATTGGCATGTTTTCTGGAATGACTGGATTAAGCAGTTTCCTACTGACCTTTTAATCAAATTTGCACATGTCCATTCACTTGAGTGAGTCTCCTTGTGCTATTTTGGGAAGACTCCAAACTTTGAAACTTCAGACAGACGCTCCTGAATGCCTGCTTTCATACTGTGCTCAGGCACATGTTCAGCCACAGAGCTGCCCGTGGGAGCCGGGGAGGCACGGACTGAATCCTCTGACGACCAGACAGAACTCTACTGACCGAGAGTCCACCGGGCGCTGCCGATGCTGCAGATGTCGAGCTGTTCTTATCTGGTGGTAGCTTGGGTCGTTCATTGTTCTTTTAGATTAGTTTTTTTTTTTTTAAAGAATACTTATATATGGTACAACATCAAAAGGTACAAAAGGCGTACAGTGAAAAGTAAGCTTCCTGGTCGCTTTGACTCTCAGGCACTCAGTTCTCCCCAGGAGGAGCCACTGTTTGCAGTTTCTTTTGTATCCTCCCAGAAGTAGCCTGTGCACACACAATGGGTGTTTACTAAAAGTCTGATCTAGGAAGAAGTCTTCCAAGATAGGCCATCCAGATTGAAACAGCCGTGTGAGGTTTATTGCCTGAACGCCTTAATTAAAATGGAAACGTGCAGCCTGGCCAGCGTGGCTCAGTTGATTAAAGCATCACCCTGTTCGCCAAAAGGTGGCGGTTTTGATTCCTGGTCAGGGCACACGCAGCTTTGATCCCTGGTCCAGGAGCATGTGCAGGGCTCAGGGGTAGGGACAGCTAATCTGTATTTCTCAAACCAATTCACATCGATGTTTCTCTCTTCCTCTCACAAATATTAAATAAAATATTCTTTGTCCATTAGAAATAATAGAATCAAGCACATCCTAAATCTGGAACAGGTTTCAGAGGGCTCATCTTATGCAATGGAGGTCTCTATCTTGTTAAGAAGTGTGTACTTTAGGGGTTTTTGCTGACTTACTATTTGAACTGGGAGAGGCAGCATGGCTTAGTGGCAAGAACAGGAGCTATGAAGGCTCACATTCAGATCCCAGTCCTGCCCCTTGAAACAGCCACCCTTTGGGCAAGTTACAATATGAGTCTCTTTCCCCTACTATGTAAAATGGACTTCATAATCTCAGTGTTAGGTGTTGTGAGCACTGAATGAGGCAGGTCATTCAAAGCACGTAGGTCAGTGGCACGTGGGTGTCACTCCCATGGTAGATGCTGTAATCATTGGTGGCTGCCCACAGCACGTGCTCCATTCATATGCGCTGAGCAAATGAGAAGTGACGTGTGCTGGGCATTCAGCTTCTCCCGTAACTTCGGGCCTTCCAGGTCAGCTTAGGGCCGTGATGGCGAACCCATGACACGCGTGTCAGAGATGACACACGAACTCATTTTTTTGGTTGATTTTTCTTTGTGAAATGGCATTTAAATATATAAAATAAATATAAAAAATATAAGTCTTTGTTTTACTATAGTTGCAAATATCAAGAAATTTCTATATGTGACACGGCACCAGAGTTAAGTTAGGGTTTTTCAAAATGCTGACACGCCCAGCTCAAAAGGTTCGCTATCACTGGCTTAGGAGGAGCCTGATGACTCCGTGGCCTTGCGGCCTTGCGACTCCGCGGGGCTGGGCTTGGGAAGGGGCTCCTCGGGGGCCGCCCTATAGCCTTTCGAGCAGCTCCTTTATTTACTTTATTCCATGGTGGCTGCTTCGGAGGCTTTTCCTCTAAGAGTGGTTCTCACACTTTTGGGTCTCAACACCTATTTCCACATTTATATGGGTTCTATCAATCACATGATTTACCACATTAGAAAGTAAAACAAAACCTTGACCTTTAAATCCATTTAAAAATAATTTTTAAATGTAATAAACCCAAAGCATGTTTACAGGACTAACATTTTTATATAAAGTAACTACCTTTTCCAAAATAAAATGAAAAGAAAGTGGCGAGAAGAGTGACACGGTGTTAACATTGTTGCAGAATTCCCTGATGTCTGACCAGCGGACTCCTACGGTGCTTGTGCGTTCAGTCTGCCAAAAGGTGTTTTGGGCGAAGCACAGGAAGGAAATTCTGCAGCACAGATTGATGGTTGGGAAGAGAGGCCCTCGGGGCGGCTGGGAGAGTCCCGGGGGCTGCCCAGGGTCCCTGGTGCACGCCGCCCAGAGTCTGGCTTATTTTCTGAAGGTGACTTTAAACGCCTTGAAGGCAGACGATATTTCTGCATTCGGTGGATCACTAAATCCTAGCTGGCTTTCCCTCGTTTCCCTTTGGGCAGTGTGATAAAGTGTTTTTGACAGATTCACTGGTAGAGGGAGCTATTGGCCAATACTAGATCACACATATAATGCCGAGATTTAGAATTTTTCTCATTTCCCAGAGGATAAAACGGGCAGAACTGGTGTCTGACAGTCACTCCCCTGTGCTCCTCGACATCTGCTTCTCAAAAAGGCTGCCAAAAAGGAAGACAAAGTTAGACTTAACGAGACCAACTTAAAAAAAAGTTTTGCATTGATTTAAGAAACAGGAAAAAATTCAACATAGTCAAAAAGTGAAAGCAACACAGACATCCATTGGCAGGTGCGTGGAGAAACGAAGTATGGCCTATACATAACAGTGGAATCTCACTCATCATTGTGACCTGTGCTACAAATGGACGCGACTTCAGGACCTTACGCTAAGTGGGTTAAGCCAGATGTGTATTAAACAAATGCTGTATGATTCTACTTATACCAGGTATCTAGAGGAGTCAAACTTACAGAAACAAGAACTAGAATAGTGGTTCCCAGGGCTTGGGGAGGGGAATGAGGAGTTGTTTAATGGGTATGAAACGTTCTGGAGATTGTCTGCACAACAATGTGGATATACTTAACACTACTGAACTGTACACTTAAAACTGGTTAAGCCCTAACCGGTTTGGCTCAGTGGATCGAGCGTTGGCCTGCAGACTGAAAGGTCCCAGGTTCGATTCTGGTCAAGTGCATGTACCGTGGTTGCGGGCACATCCCCAGTAGAGGGTGTGCAGGAGGCAGCTGATCGATGTTTCTCTCTCATCAATGTTTCTGACTCTCTGTCCCTCTCCCTTCCTCTCTGTAAAAAATAAATAAAATATATTTTTTTAAAAAATGGTTAAGACAGTAAATTTTATGTTACATATATTTTACCACAATTAAAAATAAATTTAGAGATTTGACTTGGGGTGGTGAACACACAATATACAGTTGATGTGTTATAGAATTGTACACGAATTGTATACCTGAAACTATATAATTTTATTAACCAATGTCACCCCCAATAAATTCAATTAAAAATAACTTAATAAAAAATTGAGTAAATTTTAAGAAAGGAAATGGGAAGTAGGAGCATACTTTTTTCTCTAATTTAATTTTGGCTGATCTCACCCCTTCTTCACTATTTAATTCATTTGTACAAGTGTTTATTGAGCACATTCTCTGTATAAAGTGTCCCTTAAGAGCATAGAGTAGCTAAACAGTGCCTGTTCTCAAGGAGTTTGCCCTCTTTTAGAGGGCTGGTTAAGATACACACACAACGATAGCTGGTTTGGCTCAGTGGATAGGTTGCCAGCCTATGGACCGAAGGGTACTGGGTTTGACTCTGATCAAGAGCACATGCCTGGGGTTGTGGGCTTGATCCCTAGTAGGGGGCATGCAGAAGGCGGCCCATTGATGTTTCTATCTCTCTTCCTCTCTGAAATCAATACAAATATATTTTTAATAAAAAGAAGATACACACAAACAAGTACAATGCCGCAAAAGATGCGCTAACAGAATGAAACAGGTCTTGGAGAAGGAGGTGCTCAGACTGGAACTCAAGGACAATAGAATAACTACCAAGGCTGAGTTTTGGGGGAGCAGATAAAGGCTTGGCATCGTGTCTGAAGAGTTGGTACAGAGTGAAAGATTGGCGGTCCAACTTCCCATTTAACGCAAGAATCCATTCTAGTTGATGAAGAAAGAAATCAGGAAGTGAGGTGGGGGGCGGAAGTGTGACTTGCAGGGCAACGCTGGATTTGGTTTATAGATCTGCTTCCTTCCTTGCTTCTGCCCACCAGCTTTATCAAGCTCCTTGACCTCTGAGAATTGGTTTACTCCTTGTTCCAAGGTTGTGGCGCGCTGTAATCAACACATGTGAGAATCTGTGGCAAGCATCAGAGACTCCAGGCTCATCTTCTCATTATCCTGGCTAATTCCTACTCCTCTTTCAAGGCTCAGCTCAGGACCCCCTGGGGTGGAAAGTCCCACACTACTGTCCACTGTACCTTCCACTGCCAATGAGTGGCCCTTGGCAAGTCCCTCTCCTCACCAGCCTGTGAACTCCGGGAGGGGGTTCTGATTGATTTCTGGAGCCCCAGAACCTGGCACGGTGCACAAGGCGCACAATAGTGCAGGATAAGAGCACTGGCCTTGCCCTGGCCAGGTGGCTTGGTTGGTTAGAGCCTCGTCCTATACACTAAAAGGTTGTGGGTTTGATCCCCCACCCGGGCACAGAGAGGTGGACGTTTCTCTCTCTCTCTCTCTCTCTCTCTCTCTCTCTCTCTCTCTCTCTCTCTCTCAAATCAATAAACATACCATCAGGTGAGGATTAAAAAAAAAGCAACCACTGACTTTGAGTATCACACCAGGAGAAGCTGAATCCGGCTCAGCCACTGGCCGGCTCTGTGGCTTTGGGCAAGACCCCGACCCTCCTCTCTGAGCCTGAGTTTCTTGCGCTGCAGAGTGGGGATGTTTCCTACGTTACAGCGCACACAGGGATTTCTGAGCTTTCACGATAACTCACCATTGTTCAGGTTTGTTGTATAAAAAGACGATAGAGCCGGGCCTGCGTGGCTCAGTAGTTGAGGGTCAACCTGTGAACCAGGTCACGGTTGGATTCCCGGTCAGGGCTCATGCCCGGGGTTGTGGGCTCCATCCCCAGTGGGGGGGCGTGGAGGAGGCAGCCCATCAATGATTCTCTCTCATCAATGATTCTCTCTCATCAATGATGTCTCTCTCTCTGAAATTAATCAAAATATATTAATATTAAAAAAAAGATAAAGCTGTAAATAACTACACTCTTTTCCTATAAGGGCCACGTTCTTATGAGAAAACCTTGCTGACTTGACCGTGGGGTGAGTGACGTCCCTTCGGGGAGCAGCGGCCCGCAGCCCCGCCAGGTGGGGGCGGAGCCTGTCTCTCCGGACCCCCCGAGGGGCGGAGTCGGCGCGGGGGTCACGTGAGGACGCGGGAGGCGGGCCCTGCGCGCGCTGGTCACGCGGCCGGGTGCTGACACTTCCGGGTGGGACCCGAGTGCGGCGGAGGGCCCGGGGCTGGCGGGTCGGCGGCCAGCATGGCGTACAGCGGCCTCACGGTGCCTCTGATCGTGATGAGCGTGTTCTGGAGCATCGTCGGCCTCCTGGTGCCCTGGTTCATCCCCAAGGGTCCCAACCGGGGGTGAGTGCGCCAGGCCCGCAGGCGGAGGGCGGGGGGGCGCGCGGCCCGGAGCGGCGGCCGGGAGGGGGAGGGGCGGCCCACCGCGGAGACCTCGCCGGGGTGGCCCCGGCCCCGAGCTGGCCGCGATTAGCCGGTCGCAGCAGCGTCGGGGACTCCCGGCCGGAGCGCGAGGAGGGTCACCTCGGGCGGGCCGTTCTTGGGCAGCTGTTCTCGGGGAGTGTTTTCCCGTCACCGTCCCGGGCGGGCGGGGGTGGAGGGGGTGTCGTCGGAAATGGGTTTATGCCGCCCCAAGAAGAAGTTGGGGCTCGGCCTCCTGCTCTGCACCCGAACGAGGCCTGGCCGGCCTCGAGGAAGGGGTCGGGTGGATGAAGCAGACGTTGCCCGGGCGCTTCTCACGCTGTCGCAGTCGCACGGGGCAGGCTCGTGCAGCGACGCCCAGCCCAGGCCTCGCCCCCGCGGGCGCCGGGGGTGGTTGGGGCCCGATCCGCATGGAGACGAGGACCGCAGAGCAGGACTATCGTGTAGAAACCCCTGCGTCATGCCGTCGGGAGGGCGCTCCCCACGACCTTGTGTGTGAGTAGCAAGTTCTTAGGGTGATCGGTTAAGAAATACACTCACTCCCCCCCCCCCCCCAGGTCAAATAGAGCTTAACCTATTCTGTAAGTAAGCTGTTATTGTATGAAATAGAGGCTTATCTTCAAAGGAGCTTTGGCACACTTTTTTTTTTTTTTTTTTTTCCTTTTCGTTCCTCTTTTGCCTCTTAGTCATTTTTTCTCTGCAGGATCATGTGGGGTGAAACTTAGACTGAAGTCACCGTTTGTCAGAAACACCATTTTTTCTTTGACGTGAATCGGTGGCTTCACAGGGCTTTGCATGCAGTCAGCATTCAGTAACTATCCCCCGAGTGGATACTTGTACGGCCTTCAGGGAAGGAAAGAAAAGGCTGTTACCTCCTTAATATTCTGTGGCCGGGACCCTTTCTTGCTCTTAAATAAACGTGTGTTGTGACACCCGTTACTTCCAGCTAGTTTAAAAGTAAAACGTAAGTCAAGAAGGGAAACTGGTACATGAATTTCCATCATTTCGTAGCATCAGGGCCCCCTTGCCTTCCTCCCTCCCATCTTCCGGAGCAGTAATAGGTGAAATAGAGAGTCAGAATTCAGGGGTTATGAAAGCAGTTTATAGTCACCAAATGTTAAGTTCTGAGACTGGTTTCTCCCACTGGAGTTAGAGTTTCTGCCTTCAACTCTGTCATTACACCAGCGATTGTCAACCGTGGTGCAACAAGCATTTTTAGAACATGAATACCGGCTATTCAGTCAGGGGCACTGACCTCTTTCCCTTGGATTGTCAAATAAAAACATGACAGCAGCCAACACAACCATGCTGTCAGGGGAGACTGCCCTGTCATGGACCATAAATATAGGTCATATAATCGAGTTGCATCTTATTGGTCAGGTTGGATAAGGTTACATCTGATTGGTTCGTTCTTGGTACCAAAAATCCTTAGACAGGCACCTGATTTTTTTAAAAATCACTTTGGCACAAAAGGGGTAGGTAATTATTATTTATTATTATTTTTTTTGTAAATCAAAATTACACCTATATTTTTGTCAGATTGGCAAAAATATATATATATATTGGTGTGCCACAGAATTTTAGTAATTAGTTTACATGTGCCATGAGATGAAAAAGGTTGAAAATCGCTGCATTACACGACTGTCTGCCTTTCCAGCCTTCATACTCAGAAAAGCATTTATTGTGTTGGTAGCATTGACCACTCCTTTCTTAAAGACCCCCATCGCGCACCCCCCCCCCCCCCCAGCCTCGGGACTTGATGCCCATGCTGTTATCCCGGGTAATGAAATGCCTCCTAATGTGCTTGGCTACAAAGTTTCTAGCCCTGGTGTCATGATTCAGGTTTGACCTGCTAGTGACACGTTATCCGGGTCTAAGCCACAGCCGCCACCCCAATCCTTATATTTCCTGCTCTTGGCAGGACTGAGCAGGTCTTGAAACACAGGGCCTCCTAGGAGTTACTGTAGTACATTTTGAGAAGCACTGCCCCTACCTGGATGATCCCCGTGACCTTGAGCAATTTAGTTAACTTTCCACATTCCCATTTCCTCATTGTAAAGTGGAAATGTTAGTGCGGAATTAGTACTAGTTTTCCTTTGCCTCCTGTAAAGACTGCAAGTTAATTTTTTAAAATACATGAAGGAGATGAATTGCTTCAAGGACTATGGTGAATTTTTAAAACAGGAGAGCCTATATATATATAATTTTAGAGAGGAAGGGAGAGGGAAAGAGACATAGAAACATCAGTGATGAGAGAGAATCATGGATGGGCTGCCTCCTGCACGCCCCCCCACTGGGGATTGAGCCGGCAACCTAGGCATGTGTCCTTGACCAGAATCAAACCTGAGACCCTTCAGTCCACAGGCCAATGCTCTATCCACTGAGCCAAACCAGCCAGGGGCCAGGAGAGCCTTTTTGATTTGAAGCATGAAGACATCTTCATTAAGGAGATAGTAAAGCACCTTCATAAAGGTGCCCCGTGTGAGGGGAGGAAGGGAGACTTTGAGGTTCTATCCTCTTTCCTGCGAGACCCCTGCACATCAGAAGACCGAAAATTGGGTGATGAGGTTTTCAGGACCTGGCGAGGCATGGAGAGAAAAGGGCAAAAGGGAAAACTTCTGAATCTATGTGTAACCTAAAGCCCCTTCCTCATTCTCTCCTGTGACTGATAAAAGGATGAAATCAGGTCTGTGCCTGAACCTCTTTCCTGGCCATTCCTGTTTTCATGATTCCCGTGTTTCTCTCTAGGAATCCACACATCTCTAAAAGTTTCAGGTTTTTCACGGTGGCTCCCTTAGCAGTAGGTTGGGGGAGGAAGCACAGGAATTGATGTGCCAAGAGTTATAAGCTCATTTTTCTCGAACATGCAGGACATTTTCAGACATACGGAAAAGTAGGAAGAGTAGTATGACTGCTGTGTACCACCACGTAGATCCAGTAATTATGTTTTCACTTTTGCTTCATCTCTGAATAAGTGAGTGTGTGTGTGTCTGTGTGTGCACATCTCACAGCACTTTTATCTCAGACACTTTTATCTCAGACTCCCCTGTTCACCCTTATCCTCCTTTCCTGCTTTGTTCTCCATCTGCACTACTGTCCTTCTGGCGGATGGATGGATGGATGGATGGATGGATGGATGGATGGATGGAAGATCTATCTTGTTTCTTGTTCCACTTGTTTGTTGTCTGTCCCCCCCACTATCATGTAGACTTCACCAGGGCAGGGGTTTTCCTGTTTCCTTCCCTCCTGTCTCCCCAGAGCCTTGTACACACCGGACACTCAGTGAAAATCTGTTGAGTGAATGAGTGGATGTGCCAGTATAATCACCATAGAGAATACTACGCACAGCACTTCCAAAGGATGAGTTAAAAATAGCAATAGGAGTTCTGATATTTGCTTCCCGCCTTCTAGGAGACAGTCCTTCTTACTCTGTGAGGTGTGGGGACCTTTCTTTGGACACGACTCTTGGGGATGGTGGGGGCACTGAAAGGTGTGACACCACAGGGTGATGTGATGAAAGGAATATTTTAGAACGAGTAATCCGGGTGATTGCTGAGAGAACGAAAGGGAAGGAAGACAGCTCTGACAGAGCCACCAGGTAGCTAGACAAACTTGATGAATTTTCATGCTAAGCGTGGGAACGGAAAGGAAGACGTCCACATAGGGGAGGATGCTTTAGAAGGATTAACCCACAGCATTTGGTGACTCTGAGGGTGCAGAGGAGGCATGAGCACAAAGATGACTGATCTGAGGGTGGGGTGGTGGGTGGAGTGGCAGAGCTGCTTCGGGGGAGCAGGGGGTCAGAGGGGAGCCTTTGGGAGGCGAGGTGGGAAGAGGTTGGCATGGACCCAGTTTCAGAGTGCTGACATTCACTTTTTCAGACAGGAATGGAGATGGGGAGAGGGCAACACTAGAGAGCCCCATTTTCAGCAGCACAGTGTCATTTTGTGGTAGAAATGCCAAACGGGGTAGTTACTTGGACGTCAAAATGAGTTGTCACTGCAGCCTTTGCATTCAGTTTCAGGTGGGTTTGGATTAGACATCTAAGCTGTGACATGAGTGCATATCCCTTCACATACAAATAATGTTTAATTATTTACTTTAACTTCTACCAAATGCACCCCAGGGTGCAGTGCAGTCTGTGGGTGTTGGGACAGGTTGGGGTGCCTTTTCTGGGTGCACAGTCCCTGCTTGTGTGATCACTTGGGAAGGGGACTTGAACCATCCTGCAGTGTCTGCATAGTTTGCAAGTGATCTAATTTTTTGTTTGTTATTGTTTTTTAGAGTTATCATCACCATGTTGGTGACCTGTTCAGTTTGCTGCTATCTCTTGTAAGTATGTTTCTCTTGTAAGTAATTTTTTCCTAAAATAATAAGCATTATTCTTGGCATTTATAATGTATGTGGTGGGAAATGAAATAAGTGCAGCATGGTTGTTGTGAAACTTTACAGCTTTGTTTCATTGAAGCTTATCCCTCATGCCTGAAGAATAAAATAATGTCTGAAGAATAAAAATAGCATACTTTTTTAAAAATTTAAAAACCCCCACAAAATCTTTTAAAAAGAAAAAATAACACATTTTCTATGTTCAATATTTATATTTACATAATTTTATAATTATGCCATTACTTACATAATTAAATATAAGTATATTTACATAAGAACTGTACCGATACTCTCTCCCTCTGTCAACCCAAGTACAGTTTATACTCACCAGAAATTGTATTGTAGTGCTTTGTATTTCACTATTGTGAAGTATTTAGGCCTCGTTTCACTTAAATATTTCACCATCTCACTTAAATAAAGCCATTCTTTTTTGTTTGTGTCCATGGACTCTGCATGTATGTTCTTTGGTTAATCCCCCCTTCCCTCCCGCAAAAGCCATTCTTTATTATGACTTTTGCTCATCTGCTGAACAGAAGTTGAGGTAGAATTGTAATCAAGTAGGGTAAGAACAATTTTTAAAATTAAAATTTTTTAAATTTATTTTTGTGAATCCTCACCAGAGGATATTCTTTCTATTGCTTTTCTTTAGAGAGGGTAGAGGGAGTGAGGAGGAAGAGGAGGGCGAGGAGGAGAGAGAAAACACGATGTGAGCGAGAGAGAGAGACAGACAGACAGACAGACACATCGATTGGTTGCCTCCTGCACTCACCCCAACTGGGGCTGGAAATCGAACCTGCAACTCAGGTAAGTGCCCTTGACCAGGAATTGAACCCACGACCCTTGGGTGCACAGGCCGACGCTCCAACCACTTAGCAATCCAGGCTTGGGGGAAAAATTTTTAAATTTATAAGTGTAATACTTAGCATCTATTTGAATAGATTATATTCATTTATAAAAACTGTTGAGTGAATACTATTTTAGGGTATGTAAGGTAATCCTCAACATATATTTTTGGGAGACTGTTATTGAGCCTCATGAGTGGCAGAACTGCAGCTTAACTGCTTGAAAGATGTTTCCAGCTCTTGTCCACCTTCTCCCCATGGGGGGTGGTACCAGGCGAGCCCCGGGGGAAATCTGAGCATTAGTTCATGGAGAAAACAGCCACTGCAGAGTAGTCAAAGGCAAGCTCCTACCTCTTGCTGTCTAGATTTTAGCCCATTTTTCCCTTGGCACCAGCGTGCTTGTGACAGCTTGTTGACTGGGTTCATACTGTCATCGGTGTATGCACAGAGGTAGTGCACCTATTTCCAAAATTATTTTTTTCTTTTCCTGGAAACCTGATTATATGTCCTACTTATTAGCAAGTTATCTGTCTAAAACATATGGGTGTAACTCAACCCTAAATATTTTACATACCTGCTTCCACAAAGGGGTGGGATTCTGCAATAAATCAGAAAGTCAAAAGTTCACTGTTTGGTGCTAGTAGGTACCAGTTATTTCTTGAAAGTACCTCTTTTGAAGGAAGACACACCCAAAGAAACTGGATTTTCTAGACAAGGTCATATTTTGAAATACATTCCTGGACTTTTTAATTGCCTTCTGTTTGTGGCAATATTTTCCTCTTCCCAGTTTGTTCTAGTTGAAGGTTAGATTCTGTGGGGCGTGACGTGTCTGAACTCTGAATAAGCCAGGATCTCCGCCAGTGTGACCAGTTTGTGTTCATAGTTCAGAGGAAAGTCGGTTTCAAAACAGAAATCCAGCTGGGGCCCGGCCATCGTGGCTCAGTGGTTGTGTGTCGACCTGTGAACCAGGAGGCCATGGTTCGATGCCCAGGTTGTGGGCTCCATCCTCAGGGTGGGGCGTGCAGCTGATCAGTGATTCTCATCATTGATGTTTCTATCTCTCTCTCCCTCTCCCTCTCTGAAATCAATAAAAATATATTTAAAAAAAGAACAAAGAAATGCAACTGGGGATAGGCTAAGATTGACATGCTGGTGAAACTTCTGAGAGATGTCAGATGGGAAACTGGATACAGTGGGGCCTTGACTTACAAGTGTCCCGACTAATGAGTTTTTCCAGATACGAGCCGCCTCTCGGCCGATTTTTTGCTTTGAGTTGCGAGCTAAAATTCAGGTTACGAGCCAGCTTCAGATACCCCACCGCTAGTTGGCGCAGCGAACGTCACAGTGAACGCCACAACATCAGCCCAGCATCACGTGTCTCACTCGTTCACTTTTGATTTGACATACGAGTAATTTGAGTTACGAACTCCGTCACGGAACGAATTAAACTCGTAAGTCAAGGCCCCACTGTATAAGGAGAGATATTTGAGGGCCTGAGACTGATTTCCTCAAGCAGTGGTTGTCTGCTGCGGCTGCTGCTGGCATCCGGGGGCAGAGGCCAGGGATTCGGCTGTACTTCGGACAGTGGACAGGACAGCCCCCTCCTCCCAGCAAAGAACCAGTCAGCCCCAGGTGTCAGTTCCGCTGCCGTTGAGGAACATGCCCTAAAGAGAGTCCAGGGCCAGAGCTCAGGAGTGCCAGCATTTAGTGCACAGGTGAGGAGGGCCAGAAAACGGCACCCTGAGCCTTCCCTGTTGAAGTAGGGGGAGTGGCCAGAATGTATGAAGGAATCAGAGGGCAGTAAACTCAGCAGACATGCTCCCCAAAGCGGAAGTCAGTATTCCATGGGAGTGGGAGAGAACTCTCTGGAGGCAGCATTGGCGGGGGGTGGGGAAGAGGAGCAAAGAAGTTCGTACTCCCTTCGCCAAGCCTGAGCCATCTGGTGCCAGCCCTTTCTGATTGGGAGCTTCTGGGAGCCCGGTTTCAGGGCAGCTGGAGGCAGCCTAAGTGAGAACAGGAGGAGGTGTGTGAGTGAGCGGCAGCTCTTGGGGCAAGCTACAGAGAGCCCAGTGGAAGCGGGTGGGGGAAGGGGAAGGGCGGGATGTTGGGTCAGGTGGTGAGATGAGCAGCGCAGTCTGGGAAGGAGTTTAGATCATGGTACATGGTCCTGGGAGGTTTGGGGAAAAGTTTTTTTTCTGGCAAAAATTGAGGTGAAAGAAGATAAGAGATCTGTTGAGCTTAGTTCTTACAGTTCCTGTTGTTCGGCGAGAACTGCACCTGAGGCTTTCCATAGGCGGGCAGTCAAGAGGCCCGCGGTTGGGTGGCTTTGTTTCCCAGTACAAATGCACCATTGAGTGAAGCATTTCCTTTCTCCATTCAATTGCTTTGGCATCTTTGTTCAAAATGACTTGACCACATACCTGTGAGTCTATTTCCAAACTCTCTGTTCTGTTCAGGGATCTCTTTGTCGAGGCTTATGACAATACCATACTGTCTTGGGTATTGTAGCTTTGTATTGAAATCAGGAAGTCTGAGTCCTCCCTGTGTGCTCTTCAAGGTTATTGGCTATTGTAAAATAGCCACATACGTTTCAGAATCCCCTTGTCAGTTTCTCCAAAAAGGCCTGTCCACTGTTTCTTCTTTCATCTCCAATCTGTTAGTAGGCCCACCCAATGATTTTTTTTTTCAGTTTGTGTATTATACTTTTTAGTTCTAAAATTTCCACTGGGTTCTTCTTTTTCTTGTTTTAATTTATTTCTGAGATTTCCAATCTCTAGTACTATCTAATACTTGGTTTTCATGTTTTGTTAGTAGAGTTTATTAATGTGCTGTCTATGGGATGAGTTTGATACTCTGTTATTACCAGAACCAGAACCTCGCCTATTGACATTTTTACTTTCAGGTTGCATAGTTTTTATTCCTGTAGAAGTTCTTTTGCTTTTATAGTTTTGCTTCCCCCTCCCTTTTTCCTTTCCTTCCTCCTTCCCTCCCTCCCCCTCTTCCTTCTTTCTCCCTGCACATATTTTAAGCTTATCTTATTTCTTAAGACAGAGTTTATTTATAACCTGTATCTGATCATTCCAGTATCGAAAGCCCTTACATGTCTGTGTCTGCTCTTTGCTGCCTTCTACTCATGGTACCTTGTTTCCATATGTGTTTAGTTACGGTTGACTGCAAGCTGTTAATTTTCCCTATAATTTTATATGTATGACTTCTTTGAGGTCTGGTATGAAGGTGAGCTCTTCCCAGAAAGGATTTACATGGCTTCTGTTAGATGCCTAAGGCCATCACCAGTGTGGCTTAAATGAAGTAAAATTCTTGATATGTGTTTACTTTTTAAAAACCACAGAATGAATTTGAGTTGTAAACCATCATGATAACCAATTCTCAGTGGTGACCAATTCTTCCTTCTTGGTACTTACATTTGAGACAGGTGATTTTCCTGGCATTTCTCTTGGGGGGGCTCTGGGTCTTGGGTTTTTGCGGGGAGGTATGTGAAAATTGTATTAGATTCTTTACCTTGCATGGGCCCTGGGCTTTATCTGCTCTTCCCCATGTCCTGTGAGGTCTCAAGTTCATCTTATTAGTATATAGTCTCAAGGTACAGAAAGCTATCTGCAGTCACTTTCCTTTCCTCTCTGGGTACTTGCCTTCGCTTAGCTTTTTGGTCTGAGAATTACTTACATTTCTCTCATGGATACATTGAAAATATTTGGCTCTCTTGACTATTTATAGTGGAAGGGAAATCTGCTAGATGAAAAATTTATTTTTCTTATTCTGCCTGTATAATTTTTTTCCTTTCTAATTTGGAAAGTAAGAGTATTGTTACAGACTTTGAACTGGAAGGCCTGATATGGAAAGTATGTAGAAAAGAAAGGAAAGCTATTTCAAGAGCTGGCAAAAATAGGGCATGTCCCTGCCGTATGAAAGGGTCATTAGAGATAGGGTTGGCATAAGGTTAATGAAAAATCATTTTGTGCCTTCTCATCTGGAGCTTGGGGTCCTCTCCTAAGCTCCTATGGCTGTGGCAGAATTCAGTTCCTTGTGGTTGTAGGACTGAGGTCCTACAACCTGCTGGCTATTAGTTGCGGGTCATTCCCAGCTCCTAGAGCAGGGGTGGGCAAACTTTTTGACTTGAGGGCCACAATGGGTTCTTAAACTGGACCGGAGGGCTGGAACAAAAGCATGGATGGAGTGTTTGTGTGAACTAATATAAATTCAAAGTAAACATCATTACATAAAAGGGTACGGTCTTTTTTTTTTTTTAGTTTTATTCATTTCAAATGGGTTGGGTCCAGCCCGCAGGCCGTAGTTTGCCCATGGCTGTCCTAGAGGCTACCCACATTCCTTGTGGAGCAGCCCTTCCAACTTCAAAGCCAGCAATAGAGTCTCCATTGTGTAAAATCCTTCTCATCCTGTCGCAGTCTGAGTCTAATAAGGAGATAAAAACCACACAGTAGGTTAGGCAGGAGAAGTGTAACAAAATTATTACAAGCTCTGACAAAAGAGTGTAAGATATAAGGAAACTCTATATGATCCTCGGGCTGAGGGAGACCCAAGGAAAGACAAACTTGAAAAGGATTCAGACCTCGTTGGAGGTGTGGCTCAGTCCACCCGACAGCAGAGAGTTTGTTGGTTTGGCCAGGCTGGAGTTGGTCTGGAGCTGCTGGGCAAGCAGTGTGCCACCTTCTGAGTACAGGCAGGAGAGCAGGTGGCCAGGGCCTGGGTGTGTAGCCCAGTGCCTGTGCCGGTCAGCAGGCCTCCGGAGCCTGCGGGCCATGCGGGGACTCTGGTTGTGAGGTCAGAGGCCTGCAGGAAGGTTATTTCCAGGCTGAGGCTACGAGACCAAAGAGCAACCATGTTCTGGGCCTGAGCCTGCTCGTGCTTCGCCAATGTCCTCCCAGACTCCCTGTCCCCGCCTGCAGTGTCCCTTCAGCTCCCTCTACCGAGAGCTTATCACCACGCTCTCTTTAAGGAGAAAAAAGGAATTCAGTTGTTTCTGTGAGTGCATACGAAAGGGTCTGTTCCGAGCTAATCACTCATAAGTGATACACACGCTCCACATGCCTTTCGTCAGGGAGAGCGCTGTCCCTTTTAGGAACTCACCCAAGTAGGTCACGTCCACCCAGGATGACTTCCCTTCCCTCAGGCCAGCTGTCTGTTAGACACTGATCACAGGAGTGACCATCATCGTATTCACTGTCTTGGGTTTAGACGGTGAGCATGCCAGGGGTTGGGTGTCTTGGGGGACATCCAAGAATTCTGCCTGCCACAGCGGGGAGGGGTGGAGGAGAGGCGGAGACGAGGATGACTCAGTGCTGCCTGAGGGACTCCTTTGTGCAGCACACAGGTTGTATCTCATTCCGTGCCTCAGTGCATTGTAGCTGTCTCACGAGAAAGAGGAGTCACCAGTATTTATTAAACCTCTGTTTGTCAACTACTCCACAGAGCACTTGCATATATTCTCTCTTTATTTCTTAACATCTTGAGGCAGGGTTTATTATCTTCACTTTACAAAAGGGGAAACTGAGGCTTGGGGTTGTAAGGCCACTTGCCTGGAGATAGCTAATATTTATTACTAGTGACCCAGTGCACAGATTTGTGCACATTGAAAGGAAATTAATTAGAAGGGGCCGGTGGGGCAGGGCTGGGCAAGAAGGGCTGGACACACCCTGGAGCCAACCTCCCACGGTCCCTCCCCCGGCGTCTGCAGAGTGAGCAGGGGGTCCCTCTGGCAGGTGGGGGTCCCTCGGCCTGCTTGGCCTGTGGGAATCAGGCCGAAACCGGCTCTCAGACATCCCCGAGGGGTCCCCGAGTGCGAGAGGGCACTCTGCAAAGTTGCTGTTGTACAGCATGTGGAACGCAAATGCAATAGTGCAGTAAACCAGCAACAACATAACCCATGGCCGAATGTGGAATCGCAAGGCCCCGTGAGGAATTGGGCTCCCTCCTCTCTGGTTTCGGGGTGCGTCTCCGAGAACTGCCGCTGACAAGTCACTGCAGCTCCTCTGGTGGTCAGTGCGCATCATAGCGACCGGTCAGATAGTCGGACACTTAGCATATTAGCCTTTCATATATATAGACAGATAGCTGGATTTAAAACCCAACCCTGCCCAATACTGAATTCATATTTTCTAATAGCATCCAATAATATGTGCCTTTGAAGGGGTTTGTTTCAGAGAGATTATCTCGGTGGACATAGTGCACAGTCTTCTGTGTCTCTGCTGTCTCTTAAGGAAGCCACTGATAGAGGTCACTCGTGTCATTGCCCTCGCTGGAGGGACAGTGGATCAGAAGAGAAGTTCTTGCCAACAGGGAAGCTAGGCATTTATCCGCTTGATCTGTGCGTCACCGGGAAGTAACCGTGCCACCCTGCTCCCTGTTCTCATATCTGAGTGTGAAACAAAAGAACAAAGCAGATTGGGGAGCTGGGTGTAGCCTCTTCTGTGGGGGAGGACATGCAGTCTGGCTGGAGAACCCTGGTCATCCAGCTGAGCTCAGGACAAGTGGCCGGGAGTGTGTGTAGAATGAACCCTCCCAGAGCACGGGCCACTGCTGTCCTGGTTTCTCTCTCACAAGTTCACGGGCCCTGCAGGGCTTGGTCCCTCTTCCCATTCCTCTTTGCATCCCCAGAGCTGACCTGGAGCGTGGCATTGGTAACGATAGTGGGATAGACGGGGACTTTGGTGTCAGCTGGCACAGTGGGACAGAGAGTCCTGGGTCCCAGCCGGGCCTTTCACGGGTTCACTGGGGGGATTATGCTCTGTAGGGCTTAGCGTCCTGTCTCGAATAAGGAGCATGGACTTGACTCCTGGCCCATGCCAGCTCTGCAGGCTGATGTCACGGCACCAGAGCTGCCCCAGGCATTTGACTATCTCAGATGGGTGGTTATGAGGCTGGGCTTAGGTTATGGGGACTTGGGGAACAGTTTGGCAGATTTAAAGGGTACATTTCGTTCTCTCTTCCTGGACACATGAAGTAATAGGATCATTGGAATATGACCTCTTCCTCCACCCACTTCCATCAATTCAGACTGGATTTTCCCCTCCCAGTTCTCCACTGTGTTTGTGGAAATTTCAAGTCGGGTTGGAGTCGGAAGGGCAGGCACAGAGCTCAGCTGGTCAGAGGGGGACAATTCCCCCATGAAATTTCAGAGGAAAGGCCTGGGCCATTTCCCAAGGAACTTTCTTGAACTGTGGTTTGTTGGGGTTTTTAAGTGAGATGTTTTGCTTGAATCAAAACATGAAAAATAGTATGGAAAATTAAATTCGAAAAAGTTTCTCAGTACTGACCTGAGCAAGCAAAGTAGCCTTTGTTCTCGCTTCTAGATATCTCTTCCTTACCTCGGGTACCAAAGGCTTGGCCTGGATTTAATCAATAATCAGCAGATGGCTTATTTCCTTATTCCCCAGAACAGTTTAGATTTTGCTAAAGGGATGCCTTCGAAATGTCAGTACTTCACCCGGTAGCTTTTGTAGTGGGAGCGTTAGTCCGACTGGCTTTCTGGTTCAGGAGCTGCTGCCACCTAATGAGTAGTGTGAGCGCAGGCAAATCATTCAGCCTCTGCCTGCCTCAGTTTCCTTAACTGTGTTATGGGAGGATTAAAGGGACGGCTCCAGGGGAAGCGGAGCGTCAGTAATTGTACAAGCTCGCTGGGTCATACAGCGTGCAGCCAGGAGGCAGGACCGGGAGCTGGGCTTTCGTTCGGTGCTGTACGTTTTTGGTGAAGAAAGGGGACAGTCTCGTTTAGGTTCTAACGTACTTTTTTCACGTGTCCAAGCGTTAGCCAGTTACCTCAGTCCCTGATGAAAGGACGGGCGGCTGCTGCTACCGTCAGCTTCTCTGCCTGCTGGGCTGGGGGAAGTCCTGGGTCAGTGTGGAATTTTCCATGACTGGGCTCTGCACCGTGAGTGAGTGTGCGCTGCAGTCACAGAGTGTTCCCGTGTGCCTGCCTGCGCTGTCCTCCCTCTTTTATTACAGTGGCAGAGAGATGTTACACCCCAACGACACGCCTTGGTATTTTGTTTGTGTTTAATACTCTAGTTCTCGGGACAGATCAGAGGATCTCATCTGAATTAGCTTTTTGTTTATAAAGTGAGTCAGCTGGAGGTATCTACTTTGGCCCCGCCTTCTCAGGTGTCAGGTTACCTGTCACAAAACTGCCTTTTGTGGGGTGGGGTGGGGAGGGGAGGTGCGCTGTTTCTGTGGGCGCAGGCTTCTGTGCAGGCTGGTCATAGTGAGCAGCACCGGCCTTTGGATCCTTTGATTGGAAGAATTCTAAAAATGACAGTAAATGAGAAAATAGAGATCCAACCAGACAATGGCCTGGTGGGGTTTGGCTAGTTCCCGTCTTATAGGGGAATTCAAGGTCTTAACATTTCTTTGCCTTGGTTCTAGCTCCGTCGTTCTCAGGCGTCATTGGGTTTGTGACGTATTCTACCAGTATAAAACCACTGTGAACAGTATGAGAAAATGTTAGACAGTTTGACTGTGCTGCTGTTCACCTCTAACCCTGGGGTTCTGTGTAACACCATGGGACTTCCTGCATAAGCCGTCCGTAATCCAGAGCCACTCCTGTCTCTACAGTCTGAATGAGCAGTTGTTAACGCCAGCCATTTGGTTCCCCTCTCCCGGCTCATTGTAGTGGCGATGGTGGTTAGAGAAGGGGCACTCAGGGTTGGGGTCTAATTGGGAGACGGTGGGCCGAAGTTTAACCTGGCTGTGCCAGTACAAGTGGGGTGGCATCTGGGCTGTGTGTCAGCATCTGTAGAATGGGTAAAGGAACACCAGCTTTTCCTGAGCTTGAGATTAGGTAGAAACACTCTGAGGGGGTAGCGGGGGTGGGCTGGAGGGGGTCAGTGCGGGGACAAGGAGGACTGTAATACTTTCAACAATAAAGAATAAAAAAACCCACTCTGAGGTAAAGATACATGAATTCAGGAAGTCTTAGGTACTTAGATGAAGAAACTGAGAAAAGACAGAGCTGTCCTGTGAGGAAGCTTCACTTTGTAATACGTGTCGAAGCCAAGGCCAGGTGTGTCCTGTGAACAGCTTGTTGTAAGCTGTTCGCTGGGCTCCCTTCAGCACCGTGTGTGAGGAACTTGTATTGAAGGTTGGTCTAAACAGAGTAGACTCAAGTTTTAGTAAAGCTCCTTTCCCCCGTCCTGATTGAAAATGGTCCTGTTCCCGCATGACTTCACCACTTGTGTTGTCTTTCCTCCCCCGTTATTCTTTCAGTTGGCTGATCGCAATTCTGGCCCAACTCAACCCTCTCTTTGGACCACAGTTGAAAAATGAAACCATCTGGTATCTCAAGCATCACTGGCCTTGAGGAAGAAGACCCGCTGCCCAGCCATCGAGGTGACTATACCCTTGACCTTTCTCATCAGTGTTGTCAGTCACTCAGCTAGAGTTTGCCTTGACTTTTTCTCAGAGTTCTGTGGCCACTTTAACACTTGGCAAGGGCAGGCACTGAAAGCAAACATGATCTCATGAAGAGCAGAAGCAAATTTGGGACTTAGGTCATTTGCTTTACCAAAGGATTTATCCGTAAGATTCTCTTAAATTCTCCTGTTACCCTGCCATTTAAGATCCAGTTTGATGTACAGGATTGATTTTGCATGCTGTCTTTCAGGCACAGTTCAGGAACGTGACCACTGGTAGTTGGTGTTACAAGACCCAGCAGCTTCAAGAAGTGCCTTTGAAATTAGCCTTTCTGAATGCTCTGGATAGAGAGAGACAGGTGTTTTTTGAAAATTGGTCTTCAAATTGCAGCTTTTATTTGGTTCTGAGTATTAGAGGGCAGGAGTGGCAGAGCGGAAAGATTAAACACCAGCTGAGAGGCGGAAAGCCTGTCATGTAGCTTGTTCCTCTGTCTCCATCATTTTGATAAAGTGGAGTTAGTGCTAAATGTTTGACTGGGTTCTGGTGCAGCTTTGGGGCAAGGGCACCTCGTTGGTGGTACTGTGCCTGTCAGGAGACACATGGTGTCTGGCTCCCTGGCCTTAGTGATGCTGAGGTGATCAATGGGTTCAGGTAACGGCAGCCTGGTTCTCCAGTTGTGAAGTTCTCTGTCGGCCTTCCACCCAGCGATTTTATCCATTACTGAGCTTAGTTTGAATTGAGTGTTTCCATAGAAATTGCAAAATGGTGAGTTTCTAGTTCTACATTTGATTCGATGAACTCTTTCAAAAAGAAGAACTTCCCCTCATCAATGAGGATTATTGAGTAACCTAGAAATATAGGTCATACAGGAAAAGCAGGATACATATTTAAGTTTTTAAAAATTTTCAGACAACAAGTTGTTGGTGCTCAAGTTCCTTTGAGGATACCCAGAGCGGTTCCTTGTTTCCCCCTTTTTAAATGTAATCAATTACATTTATTATCCTTTTTATGTTCAACTAGAGGCCCAATGCACAAAATTCGTGCAAGGGGCTTGGCCCTTGCAGCCGCGGCGGCTTGCCTCGGCCCTTGCAGCCCTGGCTTCATCCCAAAGGTTGTTCGGCTATCTGGTCTACTTAGCATATTATGCTTTTATTATTATAGATTATGATAGATTGTTCTTTCTTTGGCCTGTGGGAGCCTGTCTAGATGGGCTTATATGTCCTTTTGATCCTAGTCTTCGTTCGTTTCCTTACTTTCTGGCAACATCAAGATGTCCCAGACCCCTCTCTTGTGTGTGTCCTGGCCCAGGCTTCGAACCAACTGCTCCTCCAGTTTCTTTCTGAATTTCCCACCGAAGGGATCCTGGCTCACTCATCAGTCCTCCAGCCCGGCTGGCCCCGGTTCCTTTCAGTGGGAATGGTATTTGCAAGTCAGGATCTGATTGCCAGGTGCGCCTGTTTCTGCTGGGGTGTTGTTGCTTCTAAGTCTTTACAATGGATAGAGCCAGAGGTGTGTACTTTTAAGAAGAAAAAGGATCATGAGTTCATGTTAGCATTTCTAATTCAAATTTGACATTAAGGTTTTTTTACTTCTTAGGTTTTTTATACTTGAGTATCATTCACATATACTGAAAATCTTAGTTCCTAAAGACAGTAACTTATTATTTACTTTCGTTATCCTATAGTACATATAAAATAGTTTCAAAATAACATTATAACTACCAACTATAACTTTATTGAGTGCAGTTTAGGATATCTTTTCTGCTTTATTTGTCCTTAGAATGAATAAAGAACAGAATGCTGTTTTCTGAAATCCTTGAAATAATTATTGTTCCTGGGGGTTATCAAGTTGATATGTAGTTAGATTAAGTTTTATTTTGTGTTCAATTCATGGTAATTTTTTTTATTTGCTGCTATTTTGAATATGTAAAACATATTTCCAAAGTCAAAATTGTAAGCAAGATATATTCAGAGAAGTCTATCCTTTAAGTGTTTCATTTTGCTTAGGATAAGCAAAAACATACGTGTGCGTGTGTGTGTGTGTGTGTGTGTGTGTGTGTGTGAGATCTCCACCCTCCCCTCCCACACACAGCTATCACGGAAAATGCATCCGCACTATTCTGTAGCTCGCTTTCCCCGAACACAGAAGTCTAGAGCTTGCTCCTATCAGTGTATAGAGGTCTCCCTCAAGTCTTTTCATAGCCGTTGATGTCCTTCTGGGTTTTTCTAGTCTTTGCTATTGTTGTTGTTTTTTTTTAAAATATATTTTATTGATTTTTCACAGAGAGGAAGAGAGAGAGAAAGAAAGTTAGAAACATCGATGAGAGAGAAACATCGATCAGCTGCCTCCTGCACATCTCCCACTGGGGATGTGCCCGCAACCAAGGTACATGCCCTTGACCGGAATCGAACCTGGGACCTTTCAGTCCGCAGGCCGACGCTCTATCCACTGAGCCAAACCGGTTTCGGCTGCTATTGTTAATAAAGCCACAATAATATCCTGTGCATATGACATTATATATATTTTTTAATCATTCAAGGACATGTTCATTGATTTTTTTTTTTTTTTTTGAGAGGGGGGAAGAAGGGAGGGAGAGAGAAAAAAAAGAAAACACGTTGATATGAGAGAGAAACATCAATAGGTTGCCTCCTATACACACCTAACCGAGGATCGAAACTGCAACCTATGCCCTGACTGGGAATTGAACCCACAACCTTGCAGTGTATGGGACAGTCACCTGAGCCACACTGGCCAGGGCGACATTGTATATTTTTGCTAGTTATCTTTGCGTTAGATTCCCTGAAAATGAAATCTCTGGGTTAAAGGTAAAAATACTTTTTTTAGATATTACACATTCCCTTCTCTAGTGATTGTGCTGTTTTTGCATTCCCACCAACAGTATAGCCCAGGGGTGGGCAAACTTTTTGACTCGAGGGCCACAATGGGTTCTTAAAACTGGACCGGAGGGCCGGAACAAAAGCATGGATGGAGTGTTTGTGTCTACTAATATAAATTCAAAGTAAACATCATTACATAAAAGGGTACAGTCTTTTTTTTTCAGTAGTTTTATTCATTTCAAACGGGCCGGATTCGGCCCGCGGGCCGCAGTTTGCCCACGGCTGGTGTAGCCTGTTCCTCAGCTGGATTTGTGCCGATCTGATAGGTAAATAGTCAGTTTTTTCCTCTTTGCCCAAAGGCGTTTTGATTTCCCTCTTACATAGATTTTTTTGAAAGATCGGATTCATAACATCTTCCTACCTGCCTTCCCCCCCCCTCGCCCCCCCGCAAGGTCTCCTTTTTAACTATGGATGTTAGGTAAAGATGCCGATGGGGCTTCAAAGCTGAGCACTTCCAGCTCTGCCTTTCATGACCTCTCCAAGCCTCACCTCCTTCCCTTAGAATTGGGCCCTCAGGCCCTGAATACACTGGTGTGTGGATCTGAAGGTTTCATTGGCCGTTCTTCTTGGTCTCGTGTGTGTGTTAACCTAATTGATGAATTCCTAATGTTTGCACTCTGGTCCACAGCACCAACTGGGGCTGCTGCTTGAAACCCTTATATTAAAAGGTTGTTCCTTTAAAAGCAAAGTGCCAAGAAGTAGAAGGGCACAGCCAGGCGAACCCTAGTTATGAACACCCTGTCATGTTTATTCCCCGTTTGAGGTGGTGATTATGGCAGTACCAGGACTCTAGGCCTTTGGGAGACCAACCACATCAAGAGATCTAATGTGTGTGTAGCATTGGAGCAGGCAGAACTCGTAAGACAGGACTTCACTTTTCTTGGTGGTAAACTCAAAAGATTGAGCTAATTTTGAACTTTGAACTTCGATGATGAAGTGGGATGATGAGGAGGTGCAGAATCCAGCTGCAGGCCTTCTTCGTCTGGTGAGGAAAAGTGTTTGATCCTGTGCATGACTTAAGAACCCAGGTTTGGAAATTAGCAGGTGTAAGCTAGACATGATATTCAGCAAGAGGAAAATGAGAAGCAGTTGTGAAAGCTTTAGAGAAATTTTATACAGGTGAAGTCGACTTGATCTGAACAATACAGTTGACACCTCGTTCACCTTTTGCTACTTTAATCACTTTCCCTGTCGCGATTTTCTTCCTGTATCGATAGGCTGAGTGCTAGCGAGTTGTATTCATTGGCTGGAAGCCTTGCCCAGAACTGGTCAGAACAGTGCTCTCTCCATCGTCGCCCCGCCAGCCCTGCCCTCCTCACTATGGAACTGTCGCAGCAAGGCTGCTGTTTCTGTCCGTGCCCCGTTTTCCTGCAGCCGTGGGGTGTCCTGCTAGTCTGTAGTCTCCTTGGGGTGGATTTGGCTTCAGCTGTGTCCTGGAGTTAGTTGGTTTGCCACGTCATTGTCCTGTGTTAGATGAGCTTACATGGTTTGCCATGGTCCTAAAGGGCAGCAGTTCTGTTTTAGTCCACAGTCTGGACGGAGGGGAAGAAAGGGCATTGGTAATTAGGCCTCTGCCCCGGGGGAGCTGTTTTTCTATGCATTCCAAAAAGATTGGAGTGTTCACGAGGTGCATGGCGCTGAGCGGGCATTGCAGGGGACCCTGTGAAACTGCCAGGCCTGTGACCCGCGAGACAGTGCGAGCCGCTGTGGGTGCAAAGCGTGTCTTTGATCTGATCTCTGCATATTCTGCTGCCACTTCAGACTCAGCCAGGTCTCCACTTCACTTCCTGATGTCACAGTTTTCTCTGTCACTTAGCGTCAGAACCTGCTGATCACTTCTTTCTCCTCTTCCTCGAATCCAGTTGATCCTGTGACGTCTCTGTGTCTGTTCCTTCCGACACCCTGATTTCTGATCCAGTCACTCAGCTCCGAGTTACTGCAGTGGCTCCTCATCCGG